AAGGATTCTGGGGCTTCGCCTGACATACTTTGGACATGTTGTAAGGAGAGATAGGTCTTTGGAGAGGGACATCATGCTGGGTAGAGTAGAGGGACGGCACAGGAGAGGAAGACCCTCTATGAGGTGGATTGATTCAGTGACTGGGGTAATCGGGATGGGTGTGTCAGAGGCAATGGGATCGGCACGGGATAGGGCACGGTTTAGGGCTGTTGTACATAGGGTCGCTATGAGTCGCAAACGACTCAACGGCACTTAACAACAACAACAACAACAACAACAATGAAAACATGCAGAATTTCAAGTATTCTAATTCTGAATGATTTAACCACAAAGTAGAGAGATCTTAAATTAGAAGTATTCAAATAATAACTTGGCAGTACAATATATTGGGTTGTAGTACAAAAAATCCCTAAAATAATCTCTAAATCATATGGGGTTGGATGACCATATTAACCATAGCTCTATTTTCTCCTTTCATAAATAGCAACCTGAATACAGTGAATTTTAAGAAATCTTAAAATAGGCCATCATTAAAAGTTAGAATTTTTGTTGTTGTTTTTAAGAATAAAAACAGGAAGTTTGGATAATTTAATCTGAGTTTCTGAAAGAGGTAAAGAAACAAAAATATTAATAGAAAATAATCTGAAATGATTCTCAAATCTCTTACAGTCAATTCTTTACAATCAGTTTTTTCTGCACTAGATTATTTTTGGGGTTTGAATCACTATGTAAAATGTTCCAACTAAAATATACTGTTGTGATGAATTATTTTACCCAAGAGGGTTTCATTGTTGCCTTCTAATTTTTCTGAGTTTAAATGCTAAGTCTATTAACCATCAGCCCTAAGGAAGTTATTGACACTTCACCACAGTAAGAGATGGGAAGGAGTGATGGGAGGGGGATTCATTTCAGCTAAGCACTAGTAAACAGTATCACTTTTTTTTCTTCTTTTTAAACTCAGGCATCTCATGCATAAATAATATACTGTGTATATAGAAGTCAGTGTAAAAAGTGATACTGTCATGTTGCTGTTTAAAAAAATAAGATGACAATGTTATGCTAACAAATGGACAAAAACGCTAAGGTAGGTTTCTAAACAAGCATAGCCGCATAGCAGGGTTATAACAGGGATGTCAAAAGAAAGTGAATGCTTAGATGAATAATAATAGCATATTATTGATAATTAGCTCATGAATTAGATATATTTATAATTTAACTGGCCAAGCTGCTTTTCATAAACATATATTAATGGTTAATTAGGATAATATAAAAATTAATAATTCTAGTTGTTAGTAATGGCAACTAGCTTGTGTCTTAATTCATGCTTCTCTTATGGTAGCTAGCTTTCAAACAGACTCAATTTTATGTAAAACCTTACTTTTTTCTGAAGTCATATCGATCTGAAAGAAAACATAGATAAATTGAGATAGTTACAAAGAGGATCTTGTCTCCTGGCCCCTCATGTACACAATAATCTGCTACTCATAATCCTTTGCATGAAGGTGACACCATAAACTAGAGATGGGTCAGACTAATCTGTTGCAGTTCTTCCTGAGGGTTTCCTTGATTCTTAAGCTAACTTTGGGGGGGGAAAAGTCAGTTTTATATACTCTCGGTATAAACACCTTCAGAAAATTATTCCTTGGGAAATATGAATCAGGATTTATTTGATGTTAAAAAAAGAGTATATATCTGTATGTGTATACACTAGGGGAAAAGCCAGGAAAAGTGTAAAATAGGCATACATAGGGGCAGAAAAGGAACGATGTAGGTGTGAAAAAGAAGGGACAGACAAAGAGCATGCCAGGATTGACGATCATAGCTTTCTTAGCATTAATAGGCAGCCAGCACTCCAAATCCTGAAAAAAACCCTATAAACTGGACCTATTGTCCTTAATATTTCCTCAAGATATTCAACAGAAATTCAATAGAAAAATATAACAATCAGAGGGACAAAAATAGCGTGTGAACATAGCAAAGTTTTTTTCATGGTTTCACTGTTCTTTCATAAATAAGCAGTTATTGCCTTTAACTGCTTTGGTGATAATAAAGTCACCAAGTACAGGAAGGAAATGGAATATTTGAAACTTGATAGGAAGAATGACTTCCGTCTTGTCATAATTTTACTGTGTATATGACTATATACATACAGCAAGACAGTGGGTCTATACCCTACCTCTTGTCCCGTCAAGATATTAGAAAGAAGTGAGTTCAAGGGAATTCTCTGAACTGATAAATCTTTCATTTTAGTTACATGGTGAATAAAAGGATATGTATTTTATTTTGGGGGTTTTAAAATTTTAAACGTATCAATATAGCATTTTAAAAAATCCTAGTGTGTTTGAAAACAATAAAGTAAAATAAATAACAACATTGGCATTTCTCTGAAGTACAAATGACTATATTAATAGGTCAGTACAAGGAAATTTCACATGTTTTTTTCATTTATTGCACAATGTTTGAGCACTTCCAAATCTTTATATAGGAAACAAACACATACTTGCTTTGAACTTTAAAGGGTCACACCTCTCTCAAACTCATTCCTTCATCTATGATAAAGAGTGATAATACCTGGACCATAAGGTGGATGTGAAAGATGACACATGCAGAGCACTGAGGAAACAGCCTCCCTTATCGCATGTGCTCACTATCTGCATATTTCTGTGCCATAACACTAGTCTAGCTTAATGGGTAAGATGTAGGATTTATAAGGGATCTTTTGGCCATAGTACCCACTTATATACCTAAAAATTAGAAATCCAAATGATAATTCCAAAGAATTTTTGGCTTCTAAAAATACAATAAACTAAAAAAATTTTTTAAAAAATACAACAAACTAAAGCTGGGGAAATCCTAGTTTCTAGAAATGTACAAGCATCCATTTTATTAAGAGTCTGAGTGAAGATGTAATTTCCGGGAAACTACACCCTGTGAAGTGTTTTCTTTCTGAAGAAATGAGAGTTAGAAAGGCACATATTTTCTTAGTACTATTATGATTGTTATGACAATGTTGTTCTAGTCCTCTAAAATTTGTCACCAAAGAACTTTTGAGAACTGCTGAGATAATGGAGTTGGCCTGGAGCAGTTAATATACATTATTGCACAGAAACAAGGTCTATAATTTTGGAGGAAGCACTAGTATAAGATGAATAAACAGAGGCTCACAGAGATGAACTATAATTTTTACCTTTTAATTACCAAGGACAACCATACAACTTTCTAAGACTACAGGTTAGTCCTGGGCTCTCATTAGCGGTTACAACAATGACACAGCCAATAATATGCAACACCATCATCAAATTACCTCTTCTTCCTGTTCTTGATCTGACTCTGATTCCTGGCCGCCCCAAGATGTCATGCAAGATGGGAAAAAAGAGAGCCAGAATAGTAAAGGAAATTTAGCAGAAAAGAAAAGTGTAAACACCCTGCCGAGAAATGTCAACAAGCAAACATCATCATTTTCTTTTCTTTTTTTTTTTCTTTCGTATTAGTAGTGTACAGAAGACCACTAGAAAAACCAAAAGATAACTGGTTTAAATGCAAAAGACTATACAGTTTAGGACATAATAACCAAAGTTATATTAATCTCAGACACTAGGTCACAAGTAGTCCAAACATTTGACTTTTAGTTAATTTTTTTTTTAAATATAGAACACTTCACGAATTTGTTTGTCATCTTTGCACAGGGGCCATGCTAATCTTCTTTGTATCATTCCAGTTTTTTAAGTATATGTGCTGCTGCAGCGAGCACTGAATTGAGGATAAATATGCTAGAGAAATTTCAATGAAGACATCCACATCATTATAGATGTTGATTAGAAATATTAATAGCTACAAATAAGCATATGGTGACAATATTTCCAACATACAGACAATAATTAGGAACTCTATTATAATGTCATTTTTTTCTAGCTGCTGTTAGTTGTCTGTTTCTGGATTTTAACTGGTATTCTGATGATTCACTATTGATAAACTCTCAATCTCTAAGTATGTAATGCATTGTTGGAGGAAGGTTAGATTATTGGTTTGGGTGGGTGGATATGTAAATTACTGTATTCTGATTTTTACAGTAATATATATTTATGTATGTAGAGAATATTTCCTTTTCTTTTTAATACTTAAGAAGAATCTGCAATGCCAAGCCACATGCTTTTACAACTTATCCTCTGAATAATTAATTCTTCTACCAGAATAATTATTGTTGTTGTTGTACACTGTTGAGTTGGAACTGACTCATAGCTGACCCTCCAGCAGGTTTGCAGAGGCAATAAATTTTTTGTGAAGAGACTTCCCTTCTTTTTCCCACAGAGCAGATGGTGAATTCAATCACAAGGTTTTGGGATAGCCTCTCAGAATAATGAATTAAGCAAAATATGCAATTTTATAAGAAGCATAAACACTCTCTGTTTTGTAGAATTAAGACTTAAGATTTTACCTATATCCCTATTTCCCATCCAGATCTTATTTGCCACCACCCATCTCTCCCTGACCTCTTCTGCAATTTGATGTGGGCTGTAAAATGTTGCAACAGAGGAAACTTCTATTAAAAAGTATCTTAGTTTTAAAAATTTTACAATAAAAAAGAAATTTACAAACATTAAACTAGTTTTCCTCTTTGATTTGATCAAAGCAATAAAGTAATTCTATAATGGGAAGAAATTTGGATAGAAAGTGTTATCTGTAAGTGTACTTTGGGTACAAAATTAATAAAATTTTCCTTTTTAAAATGTAATACTTAGTATCTACTCCTTACAACATGAAGCCATTTTTTAAATTTAATTTGATACTTTTTAAGTACTACAGATTAAATATACATAATTATTTAAACAAAATAAAATATCATGAAGTTGATATGAATTTAATAATATATAATCCACCTGTGAAACAGTATGAAGCAGCAGCTAAAGACTAAGTATATATTAATACCGCCAAAAGCATAATCGTACTCAGTGAAAAAATAAAAATAAGCTAAAGAGAGCTAATTCTTTTATTTTAAAATCTTAACCCAAAGATTAAACTTAAACACAATATTCTTTCTCTATGTGCAGTACGTATTTATAGAAATTTGCACTTAATGGACATACAAATAGAGGTACTATTTGTCTTCAGTTGAAAGTTATAAAATTGACAACACATTAATTAAAAATGATTGTTATATGTAGGTCGTGTTCTGTGTCTTTGATTTATACTTTTAAGAAAATCTGAAAATAAATGCTCTGCTGGCTGGCTAGATGGATGGCATATTTTACAATACCTTTGTATAAATTGGCAGAGTGATGTTTAAGTTGCAAATAGCTTGATGCACCAGCCCTCTTGTGGATTTTGGCTCCTTCATAAATGATAGTCGTCCGCAAGGTTCCTGAGTAGTGTCACGTACCTTGAATGAGAAACAGATAAGCTCTTCACTCACTTGACATATGCTATTTAATTAGATAATGCTTAAAGTAGAAAAGGAAATAAAATCTGTTTAAATCCAAGGATTTGGAAACATCCTTTTTTCATTGTTTAACCATTTATAATTACTTTTGCAAATCAACAATATAACACGTTAGCTTACTTTTATATAGCTGTCTGTGTCAAATAGATTTATTACCTCTTAACAGTGAATGTTTAATAAGGTAATCTGTAAAAAATCTATCTTTAGGGAGCTCTGGTGGCCTAGTGTCAAGACGCTGCACTGCAATCCCAGAGGTACACGGTTCAAATCCACCAGATGCTCTGCTGGAGAAGGAGGGGGCGATCTCCTCCTGTACCAGTCAGATTTGATTTAACAGTACACATAAAAATAATCCAATAAAAATTAAAAAATCTATCTTTAATCAGAAAAGCAATCAAATTGAAAGTGCAAAGTGAAATAGTCAAGAGAGCAAGAGTTAGCAAAACTTAGTGAAAAGAGATTTGTTAACCTATGCATGGAAAATTCTTGCAAGGATGTTAGATTTTTTTTTTTTAAAACAATTGTCAAGAATTACTGAAACTCTGTTAAAAAACCAAAAGAGCAATGACTTTACATTTCCTACCTGACAAGGATTAGAAAGAATTATTCACTCACATCAGAAAAGGCATTTGCTATAGCGTAAATTACAAGTCTAGTCATTTTACTTAGTCGATTATCACTTGGCACTCTAATTTTTAATTCCATCTTTTACCCTCTTTTATTTGTTCCTTTTTATTCATTTTCTCCCCTGCTTCCTTTTCCCTCTCCCACCTCACCCCGCAATGCATCCTTTGTTACAGATTGTTCTCATATATACAATCATATATTCCTTCCGGATAGGTCTTCCCCTCATTTGTTCTAATGTATTGTTCATCGTCTATCCACTCTTTCTCCATCCCTTCCTCAACTCATCACCATGTCTGTCCTATTATCTAAGAACCCTGTCATGCAGTATTTGCCCTTTTGTGACTAAGATATTTCACTTGGCATAATGCCCTCAAGATCCCCCATGTTGTGTAATGTTTTATTATTTCCTTGATTTTAAATGCTGCATAGTATTCCATTGTGTGGAAGCAGCATAGTTTTTCCATCCATTCATTTGTTAATGGTCATTTGGGTTGCTTCAATCTCTTTGCTATTGTGAATAATACAGCAACAAACAAGAGTGTGCACACAACTGTTTGAGTTGTGACTCTAGCTTTTTTTATAGGGTATATACCCAGTAGAGGAAATGCTGGGTAAAATGGTATTTCTATTTCTAACTTTTTGAAAATGCACCAGACTACCTTCCAATACCACATTATATCCCCACCATCAGTGAATAAGAGTTCAAATCTCTTCACAACCTTGGCAGCATTTGTGGTTTGCTGCCTGGTTGAGGTTTGTTATGGTTGCTGGGGTTAATTCAATCTTTAGTTCATAGATTGAGGAAATCTCTTCATAGTCAAGCCTTAAAAATGAATTTTTAAAAACCATACATGAATTACCTTGACAAAGAGAGGAAGTCTATTTTCTTTAAAGGCAAAAAAACTGAATATGTGATGTTGGCCACTCTTAGTTAATGGCACCAGGTTTCCAAAGCAATCTACATAGATGGGTTTTCCTTCTAACACCTGAGAGAAAAGAGAGATGAACATATACTATAACAGCCACATTGTTAATTTATTTATACAAATAAAACACGGTGCTGATTGTTGTTGTTGTTATATGCCGTCGAGTCGCTTGCGACTCACAACGACCCTATGTACAACAGCCCTAAACTCTGCTCTGTCCTGTGCCAATCGTACTGTCTCTGACACTCCCATCCGGATTATCCCAGTCACTGAATGAGTCCACCCCATAGAGGGTCTTCCCCTCCTGCGCTGTCCCTCCACCCTCCCAAGCATGATGTCCTTCTCCAAGGACCTGTCTCTCCTCATAACAT